TGTAAATGAAATCAGCCTGACTTTGGTCATCGTGACAGTCGTAGCTGCTGCACTTGTATAAAGAGATTCGTCACTATGACCTGATCAGTGGAGCTCAGTGAAATACGATAGATTTTTATGAGGTATATCATTATTTCATTTTCTCATCACATATTTGTTCATATATTTTTTAAATAACATCAAAGTAATGAAGTGCTGAAAAAGACAACAATAATATTAATAACTAATAATAATAACAACAACGGCAACAACAATAATAATAATAATTTTCATGAACCCAGTTGTGTGAACCACAGCAGGGTTTCTGCAGGGAAACTAAACTAACAAACTAAATTACAACGTCATGAAAAAGCTTGTTTTGAGTCAAAGAAAGTGGAACGGAGGGAGGTTGAAGCCCCCTCAGCCTGCCTGTCAGCACATCTGAGAGCAGCTAAACGGTCCATCCAGCTTTATGTGTAGAAAATGATGCAGAGGGCAGAAGCAGAGTTTGGAGTGTGCACAGCATCTTTATTTTTAATCACAGCTATAAATCAAAGTATAAGTCTGATTCATATGAAGAAGAAATGAATGTGAGGAATGAGTGTTGGACATGTCTGTCCTGATGTGTGAATTTAGTGTGCCTGGACCTCATTAATCTTTGAACTTAGCACTGAGTCTGAGAGTGGTGAAGAACATATAATCTATAATAATCACTCAGGCTGAATAATGTGTGTGTGTTTGAAGAAATAAAGGAGTGTGTGAGTGAAAAGACACCAAGGAGGCACTCATCTAAAATAATGTCTGACTCTTTAAATGTGTGGTTTAACATGAAGTCAAGTCTACTGCTATGGGACTGAATGTTCATATTAATGGGGTTTCCTGTGTGAAGAATAACAGGGTCAGCATTAGCTCTGAGTAGGTTAATTAGACGAGTATAATTCAGGTCATTTGACTCTGTTTTCATTATTATTTGATTCTGCTTTTGCTTTGCTCCGGCTAAACTGCAGTTAAAGTCGAAATTGTGGGTGTCTCCTGTTTAACTCTGTGAAACAGTAAAGGTCAAAATCTGAGTATTAAAGTACATTAAATGGTTCTTACAGGTTAGTCCTTTAAACGTAACAGATCCTTGGGTCTGTTACTTTTAACAGACAGACTTCCAATGTTTGGTTGCCTCTGGCTTTACAGTATGTGGAATTAAAGAAATTATTTTACAGCTACAATATATCCTGCAGCATTGACATTGCATTAAGATGGTTATTAAACCTGCTGGCTTTACATTAACCTTTTATTACAGGTGCAGCCATAATAATTGTACACACATCGCATTTTGTGCTTATTAAAGAGTTAAAGCTCAGTCAATTAAGGACAGGTCATAAGCCTCGTTCGGCGCGATGTCCGGGCGATCTATTGTGTCAGTGACTTGGAGCTATAGAAGGTTAAAACTGCATACACGCTTACAAAACACATATAGTCCATATAATCTAGAAACAGGCCTGAAACTATTCAGCAACCTGTGGAGTTTGAGTTTGCTTAGTAACAGGTGACAGAAGATGTGGATTCATCGCCATATATGGACGAAGATGCTAGGGAGGGGAACTTCGGTGTCTGCATTTATCTCTTAAAATTGACCATTGTCTGTAAAAAATGCAAAAAATGTTATTAAGATGCAAATAATGTTCTTGGAAAACGCGAGAAGGGGCGTCAAACCCTGACATTATAAAAGCAATTGCTTGTGTATTTTTGGGTGGAGATCTATGCTGACTGTGTGCAGTATCCATCTCCCTGCGTGTGTTCAATAAAATTGTTTGACCAGACTCTTTGGGACCAGTGTTATTTTGTTTTCCTCCTCAATATTTTCGAGTTCGGGACAAGTACGAGTTTGGACAAGAGATTGAAGCTGGGCCATGCTGGGCTTAATTTATTAATTCAAAATTCATCAGTTTAAATGACTTCTGAATTTCACTGCAGGCCTGTCACCTGCAGCTTTCTGAACCCACTGAAGGTGTAAAAGGTGGAAGAAGTCGCTTTTAGCACTTTGGTGATCATTTCCCCGTGTTCTTCTTTTGTGATTCATTTTCAGTTATTGCTGCACCTTTAAAATAAAGTAAGTTCTCTTAAAATCCCACCAGTATGGTATGTTTGATTTGTTATTATTTTTAGTTTAAGTTATTTGTGTTTTAAAACACATAAAACGTGTGTGGTTGCCGAGTCTGGGATTGGGGCTGCGCTGCAATACCCAAACCTGCCGTTAGGGGCACTACCGCCGCAAAGCGGTGCGCAGCTTTACCGGGAGCCGCAGAAGAAGAAGGGAAAAATGGCCACGGCTAATGTTAGGTAGCTTATGACTGTCGAAAAATGTTTCGTTCCTGATATTTTTGGGCGCTGTAGTTTTGTACCGAGGCTCCGTGACAACGTAAAACGCCTCCGCCGACATCGTAAAGGCTGTGGCGGGAAGCCGAGCCCCGCTGCGCGCTGTTCGTAGCGGTCTAGTGGCTCCGTGTCTGCAGCGGTGTCAGCTGCCGTCACTTAAACGTCAGGTGAGTTTCTTCTTTCCTCTTTTTCGTCCTTTTCAGTTCGCGTCGACGGATGTAAAGCGTTTGGCTGTTAAATCCGCAAAACTGCGTCAAAGTTCGCAAACTTTGGAGTGTTCGGTCCCTGCAGGAAGTTTGAAGGCTGGCAGCTGTTGGCGAGTTCCTCTTGTGGGAACTAAAAATAAGCTGTGGTTCCCAACAGATCATCAGCAGAGACCGCGGGGCTGCTGTGAAGTTACATGGCTTTGTTTTCAGAATAAATCCGGTTCCTTTGTAATCATTTAAAAACGGAAGAAATCCAAAAAGATGCGAACATGCGAAGAAAGCCGAGATGTTTACACATGCAAGCGTGTAACTGCACGATCACTGCCACACCGAATCACATCCGTTCTTCTTCTCACACGTCAAATGTTGCACATCATTCTGCAGAAATTAGCCCGGAAAAAGCTTTGCAGTGAAGAGACCCAGCAGACTGCACAGGAAACGGATCTGGATTTAGCAGGCATCATTTGTGTGTTTGTTATACAGCGAGACTAACTCGTGACACACATCTGCACGGCTCTATCGCCACGTTTGCATTTGTTTCATGCACAATACACTTTCAGTGTTTTTCCTTCTTTCCAATGCACCATTCAACTACATGAAACTGTGTATTTATTTTCAGCGTCTCATACACTTGAACTTTTAGAAACCACCACTGCTTTTATGTTATTTCACAGCAAGCAAATATTTAACACACATATTACATTTGTCTTTGCTCAGTGACTGGTTTTAGTCTTGACAGTCCACATCGCTGGCATTGCATCGTTCAACATGTTTGTGGGTAGATTTGAATGCTTCAGCCTGTGCAGCACATGTGATGTGGACATGCTCCTGATGACTGATGAGACTGAATTCAAATGTTTGTTGCTGTACGAGTTCATACAAAAACAGATTGAGTTATTCTGCCAGTCCAGCATGTGGAGGTGTTGCTCTTAAAAAAAAAAAAAATGTATGTCTTCATGTGGATTTCTTTGTGTTTATTTTGAGTCTGTAATAAAATGACGAGAGCATCTGATTGTGTTTTCTCTCCTGTCTCTCAGTGAGGATTGATTGGGGGGAAGCGCAGCCATGGCAGCTCCGGTAAACATCCAGGCTCCCAGTAAGACCTGGGAGCTGAGTCTGTACGAGCTGCACAGGAGCCCTCAGGTAAAGCTGTGTGTGCCCAGAACTCACTGCAAAATAGAGGCAGTGTCTTAGGAAACTGTGAGGAAATAACTTGTGATGTTTGCTGAAGGGTAAATGAGTTTGTAAGCTTTGTTCCCAGAGCAGAGATATAGTAAATAAACAGCTCGGCTGAAAGCACCAACTGTGATGTAGCAGAAATGAAGAACCGCAAATGTTCTCACACGTTTGGTGTGTTCAGGAGGCCATCGTGGACGGGACGGAGGTAGCCGTGTCTCCTCGCTCTCTGCACAGCGAGCTCATGTGTCCCATCTGTCTGGACATGCTGAAGAACACCATGACCACCAAAGAGTGTCTGCACCGCTTCTGCTCAGACTGCATCGTCACCGCGCTGCGATCTGGGTGAGCACGAGCTGCCGCTGCACCTGATTCACCATCGCCGTGTTCACACAGCTTGTTTTGGCCAATCAGAAATAATTCGGAGATAAATGTGGATGAGTTGTTTTCTGCGGTGGACATGCTGCCACCGTCCCTAACGAGAACAAACGCGTCGCGGTGACGTTTGTGTAGCTGAATGTGTTCACTGACTGATTTTAAGCCGATTATTCAGCGATTACAAAGCTTCGGGCCGTTTTTCCCTGTGCAGGAACAAGGAGTGTCCGACCTGCAGGAAGAAGCTGGTTTCTAGACGTTCGCTGCGCAGAGACTCAAACTTCGACGCGCTGATCTCGAAGATCTACCCGAGTCGCGACGAGTACGAAGCCCACCAACGCCGCGTCCTCGAGCGACTCAACCGGCTGCACAACAAGGAGGCGCTGAGCTCCAGCATCGAGGAGGGGCTCCGGCAGCAGGCCCGCTACAGGTCCGAGAGGTGACACGGATCAGTTCTATGATTTCACGCTTCTACGCTCGAGAGAGCGCCGCGGATCCTCCTGAGTACAGCGTCGCATCAGGCGGGACACAGAGCCGCACATGCTGCGCTGCTTCAGCCTGCATGCCGCTTTGCAACCCACCCTCTCCCCAGCTCCTCCTTTTCTTGCTGTTCCTGACTTAATAACACCGCTGCTGTTATGACAACTGACCACACCCTGTAAGTTTAAGCCCCTCCCCTCTGAATGATAATTACTGTTGTATGTGTTTACCTGCAGGAATCACCGGGTGAAGAAGCCCACTCAGGAGAGCGATAACACCACCTACAGTGGTGGGGAGGACAATGGGGACTCCCGTTCACACCTCTCCCATGACTCCGCCCCCTCACACACGCCACACCCCTGTGGTCAGACCCCTCCGGAGGCCGGGCCGAGCCGCAAGCGGCCACGTCCGTCCGATGACGGCTCGGGACCCGAGGTGGACAGCGGGAGCCCGACTCCCCCGCTGAGACGCCACAAAGAGGGGCTGTCCTCCGAGATCGAGCTGGTGTTCAGACCACACCCACAGCTGGTCCACGCCCAGGACTACAACCAGACCAGGTCAGAGCTTTTCTGAAGTAGCTGAACAAACGTTTTATACTGAAAGTGTGAATCCTTTAGTCAGGTGCTCGGCTGGCAGAGACCAAAAACAGCTAAAACCAGGAAATGACGAGAAATCAGTAAAAATGTGTGAATACGAACATGAACATGGTGTGACGCGGTGAGCCTGTCGTTTAATTTGTCAGAGGTAGAGCACACCGCCATCATCTGCCTTTCCCTTGTCAGATATGTGAAGACAACAGCGAACGCAACGGTGGACCATCTGTCCAAGTACCTCGCACTGCGCATCGCTCTGGAGGACCGACGGCCCGAGAACGAACCCGAGGACCGAGGGCGAGAGGAAGCAGGAGGAGAAGAGGCGCGAGCCGAGGGGGGGGGAGGTGAAAACGGAGGGATGGCAGGAAGCGGCGAGGGGACGAGTCTGAGCAACGTCAGCGAGAAGCAGTACACCATCTACATCATGACGAGGGGAGGCCAGTTCTCTGTGAGTGAGGCTGAACGCGCCTTTCAGAGCCGGTTAACGAGTCCCGTTTTATTCAAGCTGCGTTTACCTTCTGTGTTTGTGGATGAGTTTCTTTACAGACTGATGCACACGTGCGCTCCTGAAAAGATGCCTTAGATTAAAAAAATACATATAAATCAGTGGGAAGTTTGAAGTCTTCTCATTTTAAATTTGCGTCCCAGAAACTGCGGTTCGGTCATTCAGTGTTACTAAATAAACGCGTTAAGTTGCTCACCTCTGGTAAGCCTTCAAAGATGGCAACAAATCCTATTTTGCATGTTTGGATTCTAACGAGGTTCCAAGTAGAGCTTCACGATGCAACAACAACAAATGGGAGTGAAACCGTTTTTATTGGAAACAGCTAGAGGTGGGAATCACCATACATCCCACGATACGATATTATTGCAATTTTTTAAAAATATTTTGCGATATTCAGATTCTGTACATAAAGGTAA